AATTGAATAAATGTTCATTCGCAAATGTACTCTTTTTTTTGACGAATCTCATTTTGAAACTCCATTTCTTAATCGTTAAAAAAAGGTTATGGGCGGACAATGGTACGATGCAAACATCTCTCTTCCAGGTTGTGATAAAAACATGCCAGGTTGTTTAATTGCAATGGGACGTGTTAATCGGCCGTCACTTATGGTATACGGTGGAACAATTCGTGCTGGAAAATCTCATTGTGGTCAAGGCCCTTTAGACGTCATTTCAGCATTTCAATCCTATGGTTCCTATGTTGCCGGCTCCATCAATGAGGAACAAAGGTTGGATATTATAAGACACGCGTGCCCTGGTGCTGGCGCTTGTGGTGGGATGTATACTGCTAACACAAGTAAGCGTTAAGAAGTTGAAGACACGTGCAGATTTATGTTACTAAATTTATCATAATAGTGGCCTCGGCAATTGAAGTAATGGGAATGACACTTCCCTACAGTTCGTCAACGCCCGCGGAAGATCCAGCAAAACTAGAGGAATGCCTCAATGCTGGCCATGCAATACGTAATCTACTTGAGAAAGACATCAAACCATCAGATATTATGACTCGTAAAGCCTTTGAAAACGCGATGGTTGTCACAATGATATTGGGTGGATCGACTAACGCTGTGTTGCATTTGATTGCGATCGCGAAATCCGTGGGTATTTCATTGTCTTTAGATGATTTTCAGAAAGTCAGTGATAGGATACCGTTTTTAGCAAATCTGAAGCCAAGGTACGAAATGATAAATTTTTTTTCGGTGGAATTTGGCTATATATAAATGATTGTAATGCTTTTTTTCATTACCATCACAGCGGTAAATATGTCATGGAGGACTTACATAACATCGGTGGCATACCAGGTAAACCTCGGTCTTTTCAATAGTAACGCATTATATATAATATTAACATTTCCGTATTAATTTTGGTTTGCTCTTGAAGCAATCTTAAAATACCTCTTAGAAAATGATCTGATCCACGGTGACACTTTAACCGTAACGGGTAAATCCCTCGCTGAAAACCTAGAATCCGTTCCGGCGATATCATTTGAATCTCAAGATATTATCCTTCCTCTTTCAAAACCTATTAAACCTACTGGGCATATTCAAATATTAAGAGGAAACCTGGCTCCAGAAGGATCGGTTGCAAAGATCACAGGTAAAGAAGGATTAATGTTTTCGGGCATAGCAAAAGTTTTTGATGGGGAGCAAGATATGTTGAAGGCGTTTGAGCGTGGGGAGATTACCAAAGGACAGGTGATTATTATTCGGTACGAAGGACCTAAGGGTGGTCCAGGCATGCCTGAAATGTGTAAGTGCTATTGCATTTATTAATTTGTTTTCTTTAAGTTATATACGCGAAAAGAAAAAAAAGAAATTGTTTGTATTTAGTGACCCCCACAAGTGCGATCATGGGTGCAGGGCTTGGTCAAGATGTCGCTTTGCTAACAGATGGAAGATTTTCTGGTGGCAGCCATGTAATTATTTTTCCAATATTTTTCATATTTACTTCTGTGGAATTTAGCATTTTTATTTATATTTCACAGGGCTTCATTATCGGACACGTAACGCCTGAGGCACAAGTTGGTGGTCCGATTGCATTGGTACGCGATGGCGATAAAATAGTAATTGATGCAGAAAAGAAATCAATTAATGTAGAAATAAGTGATGATGAATTATCGAAGAGACGAGAGGAATGGAGTGCGCCGCCGTACAAGGCAACAAAAGGAACTCTATATAAGTATATTAAGAACGTGAAGACAGCTACAGAAGGATGTGTAACTGATGAGTAGCTAAACGAATCTTCTAAATTTTGAAAAAGATTGTTATAATTATTTATGCATTAAATCTATAACAAAATTTGTAATTAAACATTGAAACAAAATCCTAATTATGCACGGTTTATCTGCCTCAATCCCTTATCAAGTAAAACTCAAATTAAATACTATCGTATCTGTGTAATGTATTTGTTAGGTATAAGGATTTAATCTCGTTAATGCCTTAATTATTATGTTTTAGGAATAGTTAAAATTTTAATGTTAAATCATATTAATAATATTTCAGATTTGCTACAAACATTTACAAATAAAAATTTAAAAATCATTTATAAATTTTAAATAATGATTCAAAATATATAACTTATAATTTTTATTCTAATTATTATTATTTTTTTCATGTATTTTTAAAAAACTTTTTTTGTTATAGTAACCATTTTTAAAAACAAAATTCACTTTTTTCCAAGTACTTCCATGCATATACTATTTTTTCATGTAATTATTTATAAAGAATAAAATAAAAAACTTTAATTTTCTTTTTTGATTTAAAAACAAATTTTTATTTAATAAACAAATTTTATTAAAAGGATTACTATTTATTAAA